GAGACCTTTGGGTAGTGTGGGCGGCATATAAGTTAAATAAATAAAAAGACTGACTCATTAGTCTGAAAATTTTGCTGTTGTGCCTTATTAAGTCTCACTGATGAAACACAAGCTAAAAAGCCACCAAGAAAGCAGTTCAGTTCCAAGTAGATAAATGCTCCTACCAAATACTTAAGCAGAGGTCTCCTCTCACCTTCTTCAGACGCTCCAACAAATGGTTCTTTTCCCTCTTCCAGCTGTGTGATGAGGACTGGTTTGGAAATTTCTTTCAAATAAAGAGACAGGCTAATGATTAGGAAATGTTCAGGCATCAGGGTCTAACCTTTATGGGTCTATTTCTTATTGATCCTTATCAGTCTTCTGGAAGGGAAAAAGCATACACTCATAACAACAAAAGAAGCCTGTATCTCCTCAAACCAAATACAACTTCAGAACAAACATTAAGACATGTAAAGTGTACAATGATCCCATAAGGATTTCTCTGTTATTAGACAGCTCCAATAACAATGAATAACAGATATAACATACGTATGGTGTGAGAAAAACATTAAAAGATATTCTAAGATCCAGATGAAGATACTGGCCTGTCTTGAAAAAAGCAGGAAAGGGAGACTTCGCTTAGGGAGGTCATGGGATCTAGCACTGAAACGATGAGAAGCATTGACATATTGCATGTGTTTCCAATGTTGGACTGAAGTTATCTCCACCTCTCCCCCCCAAAAAAAAACCTCAACAAAATTTACCACTAAGGCAAAAAAGAAAAAGGGTTTGTAAACAAAACTTATGGGTGACACCTTGTTGAAAGGCAAGGCATGCTCCTTGGAATCTTTGTCAACTTTAATTAAATTCTTTATATTCAATCCATTACATCAAGCTCTTTGGACAAAACCATGTTTTTGCCCCCATGTAATGTAGCAAAATTCCAGAAATCGAAGCAGTTAGTTGAAGCTAATTTTGAGGTATTGGTCGTGTGACCAGGACTGCAAACAGTGCCTCCTTAATTGGCCACCATGACTTCCACAACTTCACTGGTGCAGATGGAAAACACACACACACAGAGAGAGACAGAGAGACAGAGAGAGAGACAGACAGACATATAAATAAAGTTTCGACAAAAGAGTTTTATTCTGGTTTTGCCCTTGAAGACGCATCACTGTGAACTACCAAGGGCTATGTTTCATCGACCCTCGGGTGAGAACTTGTATGAAAGGCTATGAAACACCCGGAAAACCTCTGCCAGATGACAAAGCGAGGGGAAAAGGAGGCAACAGGAGCAGCAAAAGAGAAAACATTTTATGCCATTTTAAGTGTTCATAGAAGATTGCTATAAAGTCAGAAAAATAATAAATATTCATAAAGGCCTATACTCCACTTAGGCTCTTAGCATCTACCCATTTAGTTATTCAGCATCCATGTACAAACAATAAGCTGTGCACACTTTGCACAATTAAAAAGTACTCTTGAAAGTGTCTGAGTCGGCCACCCTGGTCCCTTCTGCTTTCCACATGTAAGCCACCGTGTCCACAGCAGCCTCAAAATGAGCCTTAAAGGATCCACCACAAGTGGTTAGCCTTGAGTCGGCCACCCTGGTCCCTTCTGCTTTTCACATGTAAGCCTCCGTGTCCATACCAGCCTCAAAATGAGCCTTAAAGATCCACCACAAGTGGTTAGCCGGCGTGGGGTGACCAGCCTAGCACAGTCTCATTCCTTCAGAGAAGGAAATGGTCACAAAGTCATCCTTTCTGCACTTATCAGTGAAAGGAAAGGTGCCCTTACCCAGAGAAGACACCATACTAAAGTTCTCCAGCATGACCTCCTTGTACAGGGCTCGTTGGTCTAGATTCAGGCGATCCCATTCGCGCTGGGTGAAGTACATTGCTACCTCATCAAAGGACACCAGGTCCTGGAAGAAAAAGATGTTCTTTATTCAAAAAGGACACGAAATTGGCATTTTATTTTATTGTTGAAGTGTTCAAGACTTCATGTCAGAAATTCAGTACAGTTCATGGCCTAGTGATCAGTTTGCAGCACAAAAAAGTACAAAATAAATCAATTTATTTCCAGCAGGTGCTCGCTATGCGAGGCACCACTGTATCAGCATCATGCCAATTCATTATCCTTATTATTTCTTATTTGTCCATCGTTGCTCATAACAAGCGCCAGAGGAGAGCTGGCCAGCTGGATGGTGGCAGCGGTTAAGTATGCTTCGCTGAAAGAGAGTTCTGTCCAAATCCCTCTAAAGTAGGGGTTCCCAAATCAGGGTCCCCAGATGTCCTTGGATTACCACTCCCAGAAATCCTGGCCAGCACGGCGAATAGTGAAGACTTCTGGGATTTGTAGTTCAAGAACATCTGGGGACCAAAGGTTGCAAATTAACTGTAATAATTGTATTATATATGTTTATTTTAATGTGTTTTAACCTATGTAAGCCGCCCCAAGTAGACGTAGTCTAGAGGTAAAAATCGAAAAATAAATAAATAAATAAAAAATACTCTATAACTAGAAAACCCTTGCAAGGGTCACCATAAATCAGAATCTACTTAATGACACCTAATTGTTATTATTTTGAGTGAACACTTTTATGACTCCTACCAGCGAAGGGACGTGGTGGCGCTGTGGGCTAAACCACAGAAGCCTGTGCTGCAAGGTCAGAAGACCAAGCAGTCCTAAGATCGAATCCACACGACGGAGTGAGCGCCCGTCACTTGTCCCAGCTCCCGCCAACCTAGCGGTTCGAAAGCATGCAAATGCAAGTAGATAAATA